TCGCCTCTCACATTCAATTCCTAGAATAGAATCAGGTGATAAATATACAAGGAACAAGTCTAATTATATAATGGGTAGGAAAGGATGCCTGCCCATATTCAAAAGGGAGAACGTTACCCATTATGGACATTTCATGGAAGGTTGACAGTTGGTGGCGTGCCTGAGTGGGATATAGTAAGTGCTTTGCCAAAGGAACATTTCTAGAAGGACCGTTCTCAAAGAGAATGGCTGGTGCACATATATTCCACCATGACTTCATAGTATATGAAGTCGTGGTGGTTCTTCAATAAGGTCTAAGATTCTCTGAGATATGTTTTCCAGTTTTAGAATATAAAAACTTTTTTTTTTTTTTACCATTTGTTATGTTTAATTGCAAAGCTAAGACTAAAACTAGGGGCCAGGGTTGGAAAAATATTATGTAAACAGGCACACCTTGTTTTATTATTCTTTGCTTTACTGTGCCTCACAGATATTGCGCTTATTTTATTTATTTATTTTTAATGGGTATAATACTGGTTAATAACATTACATAAATTTCAGGTGTACAACATTATAATTTGGTATCTACGTATACTATAGCGTGCTCACCACCCAAAGTCTAGGTTCCGTCCATTTGACCCCCTTTTCCTATTTTGGCCTCTCCCCACTCTTCCTCCTGTCTGGTAACGTCCAATCTGTGGTCTGTATCTATGAGTTTGTTTTCGTTTTATTTTCTTTCGTTTTTGTTTTATGTTCCGCATATGAATGAAATCACACGGTTTCAAAACATCCTTGATGCAAATGTGGAGACCGCAGCAATAAGTTGAACAATATTATTGGAACTCAGAAATAAAGACACCTCGAAATAAAGATGGTTTCCCCTCCGCAAAAAAATCAGAGTTAGAGGAAGCATCTAAGCTCCTTTGTCCCAATCGGCATACATCTCACCCTGTCAATGAACTCCAAAACCAACCGAGTGTATTGGAAATTTGAGGTCAAACAAGCACTTGTGATTTAATTGTAACAGAATAGGGAAGTGCAAGAAACGATGGGGCTGAGGAGTTTTAGATGAGTATAGTGCCCACAGAACCGAACAATCTTCAGGAGTTTGGACAACTAGTCATCCACATGGAAGGAATTTAAAACAGTGGGGAAGGCCTAGGTTCCAAGTGTTGTTGACTTTATCGTCTAAATATAGCTCAACCTGTCCTCCTCTCTCCTTCTCCACTGCCACCCCTCAGGCCTACCCCCCTCCTCTTACTTGGACCCTGTAATTGCTTCCTTGTCTCCCTGCTTCTCTGTTTTGCTCCCTTCCAATGTGTAGCCAGTATGAGCTGATCAGAATTCTAATCTGATTGTGCCACTCCTTGCTCACAGCCTTTGAATAACTTGTTCTCAGGGTGAACAAGATCAAATCCTTACCTGACCCATAAGTAGGGTTTCGAAATAAAATACAGAATGCCCAGTCCAATTTGAATTTCAGAAAAAGTAATTCTTTAGTGCAAGTATATCCCATGCAATTATCCATTGCTTATCTGGAATTAAATTCAACCTGGCATCCTGTATTTTTATTTGCTAAATCTGGCAACCCTACCCACAAGGGCTTTGCAAAATGTTGGCCTTTCTAGTGAAACTTTTGTGTATATTTCAGATCTGTCTCAAAAACCATTCATCAGGTTGGGGAAGGTGTCTTATACTAAAAAGTTTTTTGTTTTTCATTTAGATGTAAATTAGACCAAGCATATCAGAAAAAAGAGAAGTTTTTGACATTTTATATTCTGACAATGACAGGATATGTTGCTCAAAAGAATCTAATATAGCCTGGCCAGTGTGGCTCATTGGTTGAGCGTCAACCTATGAACCAGGAGATCACAGTTTGATTCCAGGTCAGGGTACATGCCTGGTTGCAATCCCCAGTAGGGGTTGTGCAGGAGGCAGCTGATCAATGACTCTCTCTCATCATTGATATTTCTCTCTCCCTCTCCCTCTCTCTCTCCCCTCCCCCCTCTCTCTCCCTTCCCCTCTCCTTTTTCCTCTTCCTCTCCTTCTCCTTCTTCTCTCCCTTTCCCTCTCCTTCTCCCTTCCTCTCTGAAATCAATAAAAATATATTTTAAAAAGGAACCTAATATAACACACTATCGATCCACCAGATATTCTGAATTAACTTTTTTTTTTAAACCATCCAAGCTCTACAGGAGAAAAACCTAATTATTTGACAACTTGCATGCATGAAAATGAAGCAAGTTTTGCTGATCTGACTTCATCTGTCCAGCTCTTTTCTTGAAACATTGTTCTTTCTCCTTGGGATGTTATTAATATTCGCTGGAATCCTAGGAAGGATCTAAAAATTTGCATTTCTTTTATTTGTTTCCTTTGGCAAATTTGTTTCTAGAAAGGACATTTTAACCTACTTCCCAACTGTTTTTAGTGACCTCCTGTGGTTGAAAGGAAAAGACTCACTCAAAATAAACTCAAAATAAAAGGAGCATCATGTCTAGGGAATGGCCATCCTGCCTCAGGGAGCTTTGGTTTCCGAGTGTCTGTGACCTCTCTTCTCTCATGGCTCCTCAGCCTCAGCTTTCATCACCAAGTGGCAATCCTATTTTTACATGCTTGTCACTGAGAGAGAATATATGCCATATATGTTTGTTTAAAGAATCATTTACTGATTTTTAGAGAGGAAGGGAAACATTGATGTGAGAGTGCAACACCAACCGCCTCCCTCCCCCCGCCACCAGAGGATTGAGCCTGCAACCCGGGCATGTGCCCTTGACCGGGAATGGAACCAGGTGCATGTGATGAAGCCCAACCAACTGAGCCACACTGGCCAGGGCTACATGCTACCTGTTATGGCTGGTGTGGTTATACTTGAAGAAATGAAGGCTCAGAAAGATGAAGTGATTTGCCCAACAGTACACAGCGTTATAGTTTTCTCACGTAACACAGGAGAGCAACTGTGTTTATTGGGCTTATCAGATATACCCTCCCCCATAAAATAAGCCTTTAAAATGTCTGATGCATGCTGTAACATGAATGTTGAAAACATTATGCAAAGTGATATAGGCCAGACACAAAAAGACAAATATTGTATGATTCCAGAATAGGAATATACAGTGTCCAGAATAGGCAGATTCGTAGAGACAGAAAGCAGAATAGAGGCTATCAGGGCCTCGGGGGAGGAAGGATACAGTTACTGTTTAATGGGGACAGTTTCTGTTTGGAATGATGAAGAAGTTCTGGAAATGGGTAGCGGGGATGGTTGGACAACATTGTGTATATTCAAGGCTACTGAATTGTACACTTAAAGCTTATTCAGATTTCACCAGGTTGACGTGCTCTGTGGTTGTGATGTTGTTGTATGATAGCTGTACAAGCTGTTATCACTCGGGGAGGCTGGGTGAAGGGTGACAGAACATCCATGTACATGTCTTTGTAACTTTCTGTGAACCCATCATTATGTCAAAATAAAAAGTTAACATGGACACATAATACCAAGAACAAATAAGTAGACTGCAGTCAGATTCCAAACTAACTGGAGGGCAAATTTAATACCATGTCCTGGTTTGCTAGGATCACTCATTCTCCTTGAGGGGAATTTTCTCTTCCTCCGGAGTGGCTCTCACGTGGCTCATGGTCAAAGAGAGGATGATGCACAGGCTGCTAACCTTCCTTTTTTTGGACGGCATATGCAATCTATCATCACATTCTTTCCAAGAAGGGAAATGAAAGACGTAGGCAAGACTCAGCTCTGTCCTTACCAAGATCCTGTTACAATCAGGAGTCACTGATTCTAAAATAACAGCGAGCTCGAGTTTTTACCTTGATTCTCTCTTGGTTAAACCAAAACGAAACAAAATAAAACTTGGCAGGTACAGGTGGTTTTCAGGAAATCCTCAAGTAAAGATGCATCATTCAATGTCTGTTATCACTGACAGTATGAAAACAAAATGACTTCAAATTGATGTTTGTTTATTCAATTAAATGCGGTTCCTTATGTTTTTGTTTCTGTAAGTAACCAATGAACAATGAATAGTTCTGCAGCTTAGCAAACTAGAGAAGGCACTGAACGTCTAAATAAATCAGAGAAGTCCAGTTTCTTGCCCTGTATAGGAGATAGAGACCTCAATGCTGGGACCAGAGCAAGAGCATTAAGGCAAAGTACAAAGCTGTTTCTAATTTTCCCAGGAGTAGGAGAAGTAGTTAAATGTTTGGACTGGAATGGGATATCCTACTAGATTGCATGCTATAGAAAAGGAAGAATTTATGGGAGTATGGCATATTAGAGGGCTCATAATTAAGCAGAGAAAGTCAATCTAATAAACTTGAAAGCAGATTTTGCCTGGATCAACCACATCAGTGGTTCTCAACCTTCTGGCCCTTTAAATACAGTTCCTCATGTTGTGACCCAACCAGAAAATTATTTTCGTTGCTACTTCATAACTGTAATGTTGCTACTGTTATGAATCATAATGTAAATATCTGATATGCAGGATGGTGTTAGGCGACCCCTGTGAAAGGGTCGTTCGACCGCCAAAGAGGTCGCGACCCACAGGTTGAGAACCGTTGAACCACATGAAGTTACACACACACACACACACGCATAAATACACATACATACACGAGGAGAGAATCTGGTGTTCCACCCGGGTGGTGTACCTACAGATTCCTTCAGGATGATTTTTCTTGGTTACCACTCACACTGTGGTCTCACCTTTGATAAGGGGAACCAAGCACCTGTTAGATGGGTGGATGAGTCTATGTGTGTGTCCCACTGGGTTACAGACTCTCCGTGGGTATTTTTTGGCTGGATAGTTAGAGCTGGCACCCAGGCTTTCCCTGAAGGCACCACACGGCTATTAGCAGGCCAGGCTTCCTTGCACACAAATCCCCTAGACCTGGGCCTAAGTACTGGCCATTGGCTAGTTTCTTCTTCCTTGATCACTTCTTTCCCATCAACCCACAAACTCACAATTGCCAGCAATCCCTTGAGACCAGTGGAGAGAGGAAGCCACACTTGGAAAGAAGATTGCTTTGTACTTTATTTACAATAGAAGGTAAGAAAAAGGAAGTTATTAACAATAATAAATAACTGGGGGGAAAACACAAAACAGCCATAAAATGACACAGAAGGATGGCATGTGTGAGGGTCACCTTTTGTTTGCTTTGCTTGTAGACTGTAACACTGTGCACTCCAAACCTTGGTCCTTCAGCAGTGGCAGTGGTATATCGACCCATTGAACGAATCAAGATCCCAGCTTGAAATGTAAACACTAAAAAATGACACTTGAAGCAACACAGAAGTGGCGTAGGCATAACAGCAACTCAAAGAACCTCTTCTTGGTGATACATAGGAACTGAAGGGGGACTTGCAATTCAATAGACATGCTTTCCCTTTTAGGCCACAGCATCCTATAGCATTAACTTAACAACAAAATTACCATGAATCACATCTGAAAAGGTCTCCACATTCACATCCTCTTATTGCACTAACTCCTAAAAAGCTTAAACACTTACATTTCAAATGCAAACAGATCGTTCCGAAGGTAGAACACTCAAGAACCCGGTGTTGCCTCCGCGTGCCGAGGCTGTGCGATGGCGTGACATTCCAGTCTCAGCAAGAACGAGTTGTTTGACCAGTTACAGCCACACAACATATATATATATTTTTAATTTCAAGAATTAGGGCTCAAGATGGCGGATTGTTACCTAGCCTACTGAGTCAGATGATCAGAAAGGGACTAAAACTATTTAGACAATTCCTGTCTATTGGATTATCTAATTACATATTATATCTGAATTATACTCTGGCCCTTCTGAAAAGTAAAATTCCTACTGACCTAAACCAGACAGTGACTTTGCTGTCTCTGAGCCCTGAAGAGCTACCAAGGAAAGTAGAATTTAAAAATGTACATAAATACATTAGCCTTGCAATTTTCACAGGAAAATGATTTCTGGAGAAGTGTCAGGATCTATTCTCTAGGCCAGTATTACAGTGCCTTGAAAGAAAACCCTGTAATTGCTTGTGGGGTCTTGGGTTTTTGTGCCTGCATTGTACAACCACGACTGCGCTTAGAGGTTTATTCTCACACCCAAAACATGGCTACTACAAACCTCCAAATACATTAAAACCATTCTTCCCACACAGATGCAAAATCGTAAAAGAAGGGTTTATAAATTAAATGGAACACATATTGTGCCTGTTATAGCGATGGTGAGTGAAAAATTTCATGGCTTCCTTAGCTTTGTTTTACTATAGCCCAAAAGTAGAAACATGAAATGGTGTTCAGAGCTAACTTCTGACAAAGTGCACGCGGGAAAAACACCAAGACCCTCTGATCCTGGGAAAGCAGTCAAAGCTACAAATGCTGTACCACACACAGCCCATGAAAAGCACAGGGGCGCCTGGTATGTGAAATGCACCCGAAGTAATGAAATGTACAGCCATTGCCATGGTTTTCACCAACATCAGAGATGAAGATGGTGTGCTGCGCATGTGCTATTCTGTGGATTACTTTAATTTGGCTACCAGAGACTTCAAACTGGTGGTGTTTGATTCACTATACTATATTTCTATATATGTACATACAGGTATAATACAATTTTGGTGAACAAAGTTGAAGGTTTCCACATTGCAGACAGAGGCACTGAGTTAAAGATTCTATTCCCCCCACCCCCAAACATGCTTAATTCAAGTTTCTGCTTTTTTCCTTCTTCTAAGTTTCCATCATGCAGCCATTGCATTTCCATCCTTATAGGAATTATTAAGGTTCTATGTACACATTCATTGCAGGCTTGTATCCCACAACAAACAAAGGCATGTATGGAGAATGTAAAATGACACTTGGAAATCAAGGCAGATAAAATGGTGAAGTCACGTATGTTCACGATGATGGGATTCAATATTCAAAGCAGCTGAAGGAATATATGCACCCCCCGCCCCTTTTCTTAAATGCACACAAACCACATGTAGACAGAAAACTGAATGTATTTTAAGTGCACACAGTTTTGATGGCTAAAACGCACACTATCTTTAGCAGTTTGTAATTGATGTCCGTGGTATTGTACTGGCTATGAGAGAAAGAAAAGTCACAGGAGGAAATGAGAAATTACCTTTCTAAAGCGGATAGGATGGTTGACCTTGCTAGCGGAAGCTACTTTACAAACAGCAATGGTATGAGTGGAAAACCTAGGCATCAGATGTGTTAACAACCTGCACAAAATAGATCGGTTCCATTAGAAAATGACCCCACCCCCACTTGTGACAAAGCTGATTTCAGCTCGTAAATAAATGGTAAGCAAACACACACACACGATCGCTGCCTTGTGAAAATAGAATTTTGCTTTCTGAAGCCAAACATAATCCTTAAGGACTACTGTGTGGAGAGGGAGCCGTCGAAAAGTCCAAGGGGTTCGGTAAAAGATTAAGTTTTCCCACAAGCAAAAAATCATGCTACCATACCATGCAAAGATGTCTTACTACAATGCTATCTCTCTCTTAGGGAAGAGATGCATGTTGACCTAAGCTATTTGTAACTGGTTTCCCTTGAGTTCTGGGTTTAAAAATTTTTTTTTTCGAGCGAAATATCAACCTGTAGATAAAGATATGATCTTGACAGTCAGACATATAACTTATGCTTACTTGATGCTGGGCTCAGGGGCCAGCGCCTGCACCTGGGAGTTTGTCAACTTGAAAGACACAATGCAGAGTGCCGAGCACTTAGAGAGAGAAGCAGGCCGGGTCCACTGGCTGAGGCCAGGAGAGAGGAGGCTATGCTCCCTGGTCTGTATGTTTCCTTTGGAATCTGTGTGGGAAGGTCCCTTTCCTGAGGTTGGAGGTTATGGAGAGGAAGGCTAGCTGGGGGCTTGTTGTTGCCCAGTTACTTTGCTCTTTTCCTCTCCTGGAGGACAAAAGTGAATATAGATACTGCTTGCCCTTCCTTCTGCGTTTAAAGGCAGTGAGGTGCGAAGGTGGCAGGTTTTTCCTTTTCAGATCAAAGGGGAGTTCTCTTTCTGCCACTTTGGTGAATGAGCTTGCCTCCCGTCAACCTTGAATCTAATCTTGCATTAGCAATACTTTCAGAAAAGAAAGCTAGACGGAAGGACATGTATCTCTCCTCCTTTTTGCTTTACAAATAGGAGTCAACAATTCTGCTCATTCTCTTCTCCCACTTGACAGTATTTACTCAACTTCTGGGACATCCCAATATTTGGATTTCAAGTAAGGAGCAAGAGAATGACAGTCTTTTCTAAGGTCCCGTGACGGGCCATCGGGTCCAGGAAGTCTGGATGTTATTAAAAATAAAACCAGGGGAGTGGGGAGGGGGCGGGGAAGAGAAAAAAATAAAAAATAAAAGTAAAACCAGGAGGGAGATGAAAAACAATTCTCTTTTTTAGGGTTTCCCGAACCAGATATTCCAACAGAGTGAAAGTCCAGTTAGCTTACTCTACCCTTGAACTTTTTGAGCGAGTAAGTAGTCAATAAATTCTGCTTAATTAATTGCAAATTCTGAGAATCTTCATGGATGATAGAAGCTGACAAGTTAAGGTTTGTTGGTACCTGTAGAGAAAAAAGATGTTTGTCTCACCTGAACCTCTTGGTTCCTAACTCAACCCTTCCAAAATCTGTCAAGTTAAGGTCACATTCACCCATTTAATTCTCAAGATTTCTGAGGGCACATAGGGGAAAAGTTATTAAAAGACAGAAGCAAGTGGAATCTTTATTAAATTCTGTGAAAGGTATAAATAAGTTATCATTAATTGCACGTGGAGCCTCTGTGGGTTGATAATTAAAATTTTCAAAAAATTTAAAGTGTTAATTAGGCCCCAAATCCTGAGTCAGACTAACCAAAATAGGAATTTTAGTAACTACTGGTATTCAAGTATTGGCGATGAGCAGTTCAAAATTTAACAATTAGGTATGTTCCGCCTGAGAGTATTTTTGAGAATTTCAGGTTTAACCAGAGGAAACTGACTTCACTATTTTATCACACCTTGTACCACAGTGGTGCAAAGTTTTCATTTATTTACCCTTGAAGCCCATGCCAACCGCAGCAAATGCCCAATAACAAGGCTTCCTCCCAGGCTTCCAGCTGTGGCTACAGGAGATGCCTTCTGTCTTTTGCATGTCTTACATGTTGCATCTAATATGATGCTGTGTGGCATATTTGGGGACTCATATTATATGTGAAATTACTTAACCACATGCACACTCAGATCGAAGGAACATGTTTTGAGTGACAAAGCAGTCTTTTTCTATATTAGAAGATTCTTAAAAAACAAAACAAAACAAGAAAACCAACCCTGAAAATGAAAATATAAAACCCCATGAAATATTCATATGAAGTTATTCTGATTTGGGCCGGCATGGCCTGTCTGTAGAGGGTACGCCAGGTAAATTCAGGGTGGTATTTTTCTCAGGGTCTGGAAGCGTGAGAGTTTCTGGGGCAGACTTTTTCCGGGGCCGATCTTTGGGCACAGACAGAAACTCAGGTGCGTCTGAGGACAGAGGTGTGGACGGCGCGCTGGAAGGGGCACTGCGGACTGAAGAAGGCAGCAGGGGAATGCTCGAGATAGAAATCACAGGTGGGAAAACGCCAATTTTCTGGTTGGTGGCTTCCTGAGTGGCTCGTTCAAATTCTCGGACTTCATCCATTGTCATGTCTTCAAAGAAAAGAAAAAGATAGAAAGAAAAACGAGCAGTTATTTAGAAGACATGCAAATGGATTCATCTCTAAGCCTGTTTTTAAAGGACCTATGGAACCCTATGAAAAAGGGGCCTCTCCTGATTATAAACCCAAATTATCACTAAAATGTTAAACCCTGAATTTTTCCTTTTTACAGAGGCAAACCTCTGAAATAATATTCCTTGTAGAATACCCATCTCTAAGACTTCCCAAGCACTCTTCAGTGAGTGTTTTATGTATTCTGAATTAGAAAACATCAGGAGTGCCCAGCCGGTGTGGCTCAGTGGTTGAGTGTTGACCTATGAAATAGGAGGTCATGGTTTGATTCCTGGTCAGGGCACATGCCTGGGTTGTGGGCTCCGTCCCCAGTAGGGGGTGTGCAGGAGGCAGCTGATCAATGATTCTCTCTCATCATTGATGTTTCTCTCTCTCTTCCTCTCCCTTCCTCTCTGAAATCAATACATATCCTATATAATAAAAGGCTAATATGCAAATTGACTGAACGGTCACTATGATGTGCAGTGACCACCAGGGGGCAGATGCTTAATGCAGGAGCTGCCCCTTGGTGGTGAGTGTGCTTCCACAGGGGGAGCGCCACTCAGCCAGAAGCCTGGTTCATGGCTGGCGAGCAGAGTGGCCGCGGTGGGAGCCTCTCCCACCTCTGTGACAGCGCTAAGGATGTCTGACAGACAGCTTAGCTGGACATCCCCAGAGGGCTCCAGGACTGGAAGAGGGTGCAGGCCGGGCTGAGGGACCCCCTCAAGTGCACGAATTTTTGTGCACCAGGCCTCTAGAATGGATATATACTTTCAGTGTCTTAAGAATTCTGAAGTGGAAGTGTGCTTCCACAGGGGGAGCACCACTCAGCCAGAAGCCTGGTTCATGGCTGGCGAGCCTCTCCCGCCTCCGTGACAGTGCTAAGGATGTCTGACAGACAGCTTAGCTGGACATCCCCAGAGGGCTCCAGGACTGGAAGAGGGTGCAGGCCGGGCTGAGGGACCCCCTCAAGTGCACGAATTTCGTGCACTGGGCCTCTAGTATATATATAAAAGAAAAATCAGGAGTACAGAATCAGACCGGAGCAGTGAGTGTGTGTGTCTGTGTGTGTTGTGGGTATGACTATTATCAGACCTGGCCATCTTTTCTATAAAGAGAAGGTAACTAAAACAATCAATGGCCCCCAAATTGCATACAGTGTGTGGAAAAGGTAGGTTTACAGTTGTGAGTACATGAAACAGTTTATTCTTGTATTATTATTTATTCATTTTTGTATTGTTTTCTGTATGAACAACTGTAAACCTACATTTGCCCGATCCTGATATATGTGTCACATAATAACCGGCAGAAATATTTTTCAGAAAACAAAATCCTTAAGCAGATTTCCTGGAAACAATTACTAAATTTTCTGAAAGGGAATGTTTTGTTTACAAAGGAAATAAAAAATTATGGTTGTGTTGATATAATATAAAACTCAGAAGAGAACAAGAAAAATCATACTTGTAAACCTACCACTTAAAAAAGACCACTAAGACTATTAAGCTAAGAAAAGAGATTATGTCTTTTTAAAAAGAGGTACTGCAAAATAAAATTGAGATTCTCAGGAAAATGTCACTGAATCGGGGTCTGTTTCTTCTCTAATAAATGGATATCATGCCGGAGAAATCGGGCTTTGTGAAAAAGCAGCTGAGCACAGTGTCCTACTCCATGCATCCAGCAGAGAGCAGAAGTCACCCAGAGGAGACAGAATTTTGATTTTACAGTCCCTTCCGGAGTCTCTCAGAAGTTCCCTTCCTTGAAGGCACTGAAACTGCTCAATTGAAAAGGAGACAATTTCCTTATTGTCCTGGTCATGGATGTTAATTTTGCATAATTTCAATTTAATTTGTTTCTATTCGGGTTGATGATTTAAGTTTTATTGGGCACTCATGCAGTTTTTATTTGTGGTGGACAGCAGCCTCTTGATTTCAACTGTTTTTCATTATGCTGGAGAAGAGAGACAATGGAAAAATAATCTCCAATTTGAAGGAATGCCACAGAATACGGGAAATGTCGCCAGCATTCAAAATAACCACACTGTGTAACTTTGGAAGAGATACTAGTAGGCATATCTCTTGCTGACGTCATGGGAACGCCTGTGAGTTGCAGTCAGAGAAGCCGTGCACGGGTTTCGCCTGGGGAGAACCATTCTAGGCACCACCGTCTACGTGGTAAACTGACCTAATACCAGTAATTGCAGTAAAACGGAAAGAAAACCAAGCACAGAGCTGAAGCTGAAAGCTGTAAGAACTCAGAAGGAGACCAGCTTTGTGCTTTGAATCTCTGAGACGTGTGGCGTCTCTCCCAGTCCTCTGGCTTCCTTTGTCTGGTCATCCTGACAGTGAGCAGCTTTCAGAGAGCGGCTGAGGGGGAACTGGTGTCTAACATTCCTAAAAGAAAAGGTAATTGAGAGTGATGAAAATTCAAGGACAGGTTCCTGAAGGAGCATTTCTAACTTTAGAACAGGGAGAGAGGAAGACAGAGATCCTATCGGAACTGATCTGTGCAGAGAGGATCACCTGGGCTAACTCTGGTGAGGAGGGTTTTCCGCTAATCCAATCGCGTGCAAAATGGGGAGGAAGCGTTAGGGCGATTTCAACCTCAAGGGCAGTCACGTGGATTCAACAGCAGCCTTGCAGGGCACATTCCAAAGACATGCTCTAAAAACTCAACTAAAGATTTCCAAAGTGCAACCGAAGGTCTTCACAATTCCAAAGCATCCATTTACAATAGCCATCTCTCAATCTCCTACAACTACACCGAGTGCAAAATGGGGAGGAAGCGTTAGGGCGATTTCAACCTCAAGGGCAGTCACGTGGATTCAACAGCAGCCTTGCAGGGCACATTCCAAAGACATGCTCTAAAAACTCAACTAAAGATTTCCAAAGTGCAACCGAAGGTCTTCACAATTCCAAAGCATCCATTTACAATAGCCATCTCTCAATCTCCTACAACTACAACATCATCAGTTTCTTGAAAATCTAATTAATGTGTTACTCTGGGGCATGTGAGCTCAAGCTGCCACCCAGAGATCCCAGCTCTGGCCAAAGGCACATACCAGTGACTCAGAGGTTCCATTTTTCTTTGTCATCTGTAGCTCCTCTTCATTAACATGAATACAACTAGAATATGTAAAATGCTGGCAGACACCTAACAGTCAACTCTCAGTTTCCCACGTGCCTGGGAATAACCTGAGGCTCCCTGGGGCTTATCTGACGCCCCAGGCTAGATCTGGCAGAGTCCCCACTCACCACACCGTCACTGCCCTGCCAGGTGCATGAAGGGACCACAGACCCACCAGGACATTCACCTAGCAAAGATGAACCGAATGGGTAAAACAGCTATAAAAGGCCATAGAAAGCATTTCAGAGCAAATGTAAGGAAACCTAAAAGACCAGATGGGTCAGAAGCCTTCCCTTGAATGAGCAACTGTTACCTATGTTTTCAAAAGTTCTGCTTTTCATACGACCCCTGCTTTTACTCCCTCTATTCTCTTCTGGTGCAGGCCAGGCCTTCACTAGTCCCACAAAATGTTTCCACTCTCTGTGTTCTTGGCTTTATGACTGGAGCACCCTGCACGTCAAGCAGCTTTAAAGACTCAAAATGTCTGCGAGTGAGGGGTTCTTTCCCAACAGCCCCTGGGCGACGACACTCTCTGTGGAAGCCTGAGAACTGAGCGCTGGCAGTATTTCACAGATCAGCTGATCTGCACGTTTGGTAAAGGGAGGGGGCAACATGTTTTAAAAATTCTACATACACTTGTTTGGGCCTGGCTCTCTATGTCATCCACAGTGGAGGAATGCTGATTGCAAACTTTTATGTTGGTTTGTTCATGCATGTTTTTCTCGTATTCTCGAACATCGTCCATTGTCATATCTGAAAGAAGGTCAAGACGTTGGCAACTTCCGTTATTAAATGCAAACTTTCAATGGGGAGACTTTAGGGGAAAGATGATAGCTTAGCAGAAGCCAAAGAGAGGTTTAAAAAGCAGGGGATTCACTAACTTTATGGAAAGCAATCATAAAGTTAGCTAAACCAGCCAGAGGGGCAGTGAGTACAAGGAAGGGAACTCAAAGTAGTCGTAGAAAGGGAAGAGTGGACATTTTTTAGGGGTGACTCCTGTAGAGTGAGCTAAGTGGGTGGAGTAGGAGCGCGTGGGCAGTGCCATAGCCTGAGATCTCCTAAAGCAGAGTTAGAAGATCCCTTCAGGGATGTGCTCAGCTGTGTTTGCCTTAAAACTTACCTGCCATAGACCTTTCCAAAGAGGTTCTGTAAATCAGTGCATTCGACAAGAGAAAGGACACTTTCATTGCTATTGTAGGAGACATGACGTAGAAGGCACGGAACGATGCTCATGGGTGTAAGTGAGATTGGGTGCAGTGCTCACACACAGGTGAGCTTTTGCACAGAACGCGTGGTGTCAGAGTGCGGGTCTACACTGAACTCCAAGTCTAGCCTAACAGCTTGAAGGTGGCTGGCACTACTTACACCCACACTCGTCTATAAATACAACGGCACATGACATTATGATTTTTGGCCCGCGTCTGCAGGCTTTCAGGATTCAGGATAATGATCTGTTAATCTAGTGGTTCTCAGCGGGGGGCAATTTTGTGACATTCTTGATTGTCACAATTGGGATGCCACCCTTCCTCCAACAAAGAATTAACTACCTGGTCCAACTGTCAGGGGTGCTGAGGTTGAGAAACACTGTCCTAACCCAACTGATAAAAAACGTGAACACGGAACCTGTCCAGTTTCAGTATGTGAAGTCCAAAAACATAACAACCAGACTCACTTTAAATACTTTTGTTGTTGTACCCCCGACGCTCACCTTGCTCCTTTGGCTATTTTACTACAATTTATCAACACCTGTCCCAGATGGGCATTCTCCTGTTGCTCTCATGGCAGAATTTAACTTCACGCCTCTTTACGATTGTTGAG